AATAAGGGATTTTAAAAGAAATCACCCTAGGTTCATTTGGATCTTTTTCCATGTCAGCTACTTGAAGAAGAGTTCATCAAGGGGAATGAACAGGACATTTTTTTAAAGGCTGGATTTGGGATACCTAGGGCCAGGGGTGAACACATTTAGCTTTATTTTGGGGGAATTTATTAATCTGTTCTGGGATTTGCTTAGCTTTATTCAAGGGATATTTATAAATCTGAAGTCGACATTAAAAGCCTAAGAGTGATGGCCTCCAACCTAAAAGCCTAAGAGTGACCAACCCAAGAGCCTAAGAGTGATGGCCTCTTAGACTCTAACCTAATAGTAATTGCCTCCAACCTAAAGTCCTTCAGGCCAGGTGCTTTGAAGTGCAGGCCGGGTGTTCAGGTATGTGCATAAGTGTTCTGGTTGAAGCCATCCCTTTTTTGGGGGCTCCTGTTCATGAAGGTCTTTGGAGCGATCGCTCCGGAGCTGTCTGGCTGTCAGGTATGTCCAAGCTGTGGATTTGGGACCATGCTGTCATTGCACATGGCCGGTTCTTCAGGTGCCCGAGCGGATGGAAGTCACAGTTCGTAGCTGTTCTTTGGCTGGGTCATGTTCCATGTTCTTAAGGTACTACTTGAAGTCGGGTTCAGTTCAAACAAAACCGAACGACCTCGCAGACTGGCGGGAACTCGCTGCCGGGGTGGCACTGAGCCGTCGGGCAACAGGGCCTGACCTAAACAGGCGATGAAGCTGGCCATGGCGGCGGCTCGGTGCACAGATGGCGCCGCGAGAGTCTGGTGTGTCTCGTTGAGAATGGCGGAGATGGAGGGTCGGGTGATGGAGGGCGGCCGTGGCCATCCCTGTGGTACATCACGGTGTTCTTTCTTTTGTTTGGGGGGAGATGATGCAGGCTTTGGGAGAGTGGCTTCCTTAGCTGATCAAGTGCTGGGATTGGATATAGGATTCCAATGGATTCCAGTATAGGCCAGTACAATATACCTCAGGATAAGCGAACTTTCCACCAAGCTTTTGTTTAAAGTGGTGTCCCCAAACGTCCACAAAAAGGCCGGTGATCCACGTGCTTCCTGGCTAGGACTAGGACTCGATCCTCTTTTTATAAGATGACCCGAAATATCCAAAGCGATGGAAGTGGCCCGCGCGCGCGGCAGAACCCTTTCGGGCGCGTGGAAAATCGGTGTCGACTCGACCGGTTTGCAGGGGGAGAAGTCCGGATCAGATCCGACACGGGGTGCCCCACCGACTCCGTCCACCCCAAACGGCTCCGTCGCCACGCTCGCTCGGATGGGGCGAGTGATCACTGACGTGCTCCATGGGACTGGCATCCTGTCCCCCCCAAAAGATCTTCACCCCAGGTGATCGGCAGTCCGTCCTGGCAGTCCCATGGGTCGTGTCTTACCATCTTAGATCATTAACTGAGATTTAGGGGGTGTTTCATCGTGGGAGCAACGAGCGATGTGGGGAATTTGGCCTCTGAAAACTTTGAAGCTCTCTGATGCATCATGCCAGAGTGTGAAAGAGACCTAGAACTCTAGTAGCCTCAAATGTTTTCGAGTCACAAAGAAAAGGGTTTCATAGGTTCTGGTTTCTTTTGTCCTTTTGATGTTTGTTCCTTTCTGTGGCCATGTGTTTTCTCTTTCCTTTAGGAAGGGAAACCTCACATCAAACATACTCAATCCACCTGGTCGATCCACAATTGGAAACCATTCACTCTTCGGGCAACTTCTATAGCCATCCAATGGGCAACCGAAGAAAACAATGCAAACACCAGCAGTCACAAAGGGGTGCTATCCATGGAGGAAGTCGGGGTACCGCTGTCACATCCACTCATTTATATAGGGACCAAACACCACCAATCTCCATGCGGCTCCAAACACAAACACATCTTCTCCAAACGTTGTCCGTTGATGTTGATGATGTAACGGCCTTGATGTAGAGGCGCGGGAAGATGCTCCAAGTCTCCCATCCATGAAGCACCTAGGAGTGGCGGCTGGCGCGAGTCGCGCGAGAAGCTACAAGTAGAGTGGTTGCCCTGGTGGCCCTGGTGGTTTGGTTGAATTCATGTTGCAGGTGTATTTCTACTGCTGAGCTCAGCAAACGCTGGCAATCTGACGGAATCCCGAATCCGGTGGGGCGGTGAACTGACAGAGCGTCTAAAGGGTCGGGGGAGAGATGGCATTGATCCAACTATAGCTCATATGGGGGTTGTCCAACAAAGCTCTTCTTTTTGAGCAGTTGATCGAAATTCCTTCACTGGCAATAACGGACGGCCCTCATATGATCACCAATCATACCACTGCTCACTGATTTAGACCAATCGTCCACCTTCTCCTTTTTTTCATCATTGATCCTCCACGAACATGAATAAAACAAAAAGAAACATAAGGGGAACTCACAGAGTGGCAGTGACGACTCTTTCTT